ACAAGATATAGTTGAATTCAGGTATTTTGAATTTTTATACTGATGAAACCATGAATGTAAAATACATGTCTTTTAGAAAGCTAAATAGTATGTGATATTTAAAATTAAAAAGTTTAGTTCAAACATTAACTGTAAAGGAAAAGTCTCTCGGAGTCCCACCACATAGAGGTACCTCTGTTATAGATGAGGTATAGTTCTCAATATTTTACTTTTTCCATGCTTAATCTGTGCCAAAATGGGATCACACAAAGCTTACTATTTTGCAGGATTGTTTTTGCATTTAATGTATCTGAACATATTTTCACATCAATACACAGAATATTGTTCCTTCACAACTGTAAAATTTATCTTTTTTAAAATCCAAAGTTAGGATTATTCAGTTACTCCATGGAAAAATATAGATTTTACAACTGTCCCTTTTATTTTTCTGTTTGTTTACTATCTTGTTAACAAAAATGAACTTTTCTATTTTCATTTTTAAAGGTTGTCTTAATCTAAATTATATAGTAAAATAACTTTATAGTACACTGTTTTAAATATGTGAAGAAGAAGCAGGTGCTGTCAGGATTGCCTTATCACGAGTTTCATAATTCCTCATTCTCTTCTCACAGTCTGATGCTGTAGTTCAGTTTAATATATAGTAAGATTAAGCATAAAATCACTCATTACAATGAAGAAATAGGAGATTAGCATGTTACATGCTAAGCATCTGTACCTGATACTTTCACATTTATCTTATTTAATCCTTGTAACCAAGGATAAGTGCATTAAGTATTAGTCCCATTTTACAAGTGAACAATGCTTTGTTTCTATTTTCTATTAATGACTTTTAACCTTTATTCCTGCCAATGGAGTATGTTTTTACTGTATTTTCTAATATCCTAAACATTCTAACATAAGATAAAAGAACTATCCTGATAAGGATTGTATTTTTTATCTCATTTGCCTATAAATATCATACCCTTGTATGTTGGAAGAATTTAAGGGAGAAAAAGTTGATGGCTAGTCATTCTTACTATTTTAGTATCCTTATTCAAGAAATATTTCGTTCTTTAGCCATCTCTACTTAAATACAGAATTAACCATGTTGCTCACTTTTTTTTTTTAAAGACCGGGCTTTGGGGCCGGCCTGTGGCTCACTCGGGAGAGTGCGGTGCTGATAACACTAAGGCCCCGGGTTCGGATCCCATATAGGGATGGCCGGTTAGCTCACTGGGTGAGCGTGGTGCTGACAACACCAAGTCAAGGGTTAAGATCCCCTTACCGGTCATCTTTTAAGCCATGCTTGGGACAGGTTCATTGGCAGATTCCTTTCAGAAAAACTACACAAAAACTAGAATCATTAAACAAAGAAGATTGATAAATGCACCTACATAAAAGTTCAGAAAATTCTGTAGAGCAGAAACATGAGTAGCCGGACAGGAGGTTGAGAAAAAATAATTTCAAGATGTATAAAAGAAAAATGGCTAATTTCCTTGATAAATAATCCTTAAAGAAAAATCTGTAGAAAAATGGATAAAGGACAGAGAAGGGAAGTAACAAAAGAAAAATAAGTAGCCAACAAGATATGAAAAGATGTTCAACCTTTCTAAAACTGAAATAAAGGCAAATAAGTGAATTATGAACTATCTTTTGGGGGAGGGGTCAGAGGTCAATCAGATTAGCAAAGACTGAAAAAAAAGTCCAGTGTTTGGGGAGAATGAGAAAATGCATTCTGTTACCCACTGTTAGTGGGGTTGTAAATTATATGAAATGTTTTAGAGGAAATTTGATGATAACTCAATTTTGCATGTAAATATTCTTTGATCTAGCAGTTTATTTATTGGAATTTCTCATAGAGAATCGTAAAAGCTTGTAAAGATTTGTACACTAGGCTATTCATTTATACCATTACTGATAAAAGTGGAAATTTGGAAACAGTAGCATTGTTCATTAGTAGGAGTTTGTGTAAATAAATGATATGATGTCCATTCAGTGAAATGCTGTGTACCTGTTAAAGAAGGAGATAGATCAGTATGTTTTGGCAAGGAAAAAGATGCAAGGTATTTTATGTGAGAAACCCAACTCGAAAAACTGTATATAAAATATGGATCCTTCCCACTTTAAAAAAAAATAATAAATTTTATCAAGTGTGGTTTTAATTTTTTTTTTTTTTTAATTAAAAAGATGACCGGTAAGGGGATTTTAGCCCTTGACTTGGTGTTGTCAGCACGACGTTCTCCCAAGTGAGCTAACCGGCCATCCCTATATAGGGATCTGAACCCGTGGCCTTGGTGTTATCAGCACCACACTCTCCCAAGTGAGCCACGGGCTGGCCCCCAAGTGTGGTTTTAATATGGTGACTGCCTGTCTTTCCACTTCTTGGAAACCATATTGAGAAAGCAGACTCGAGGAATGCAGTTTTGATGTGTTTCCATGAGTGGTGGGATGGAGAATGCAGAGAATGGGTGAGTGTACCAAGTGAGCAATGGAAATGCTGACCCCGCCACATTCCTTGCCATCATCTGCTGTTTAGCTTTGTTGACACCACCTATTTTTAATCTCCTTCATGATGACTCATGTAGTATTTGATATACTAGGAATTATCTTTTATTCTTCCTTCTGTCACCTGTATATTTATTTTTAAGGGGATTTTTTTTTTTTTTTGGAGTGTTTCCTTTGTTTTTTTCTAGCAAAGCCCAAGAAAATCAACCAGCTTAACATAAAGCTGGACAGAGTTGTCTGTCTTCCTTATTTATTTTAGTGCAAAGTGGCATTTTTACAACAGATCTGAAAGGAATATTTTTGTAGCCTCTAAAAGCAAGATTCTATCTTCCATGTTGGTCCTCAGCGTGGTTTGAGTCTTGGGAGTTTGTCATTTCCTTCAGATTATCGGAACATAAATCGCCACGTTGTCTCATTGATGCAGAAGTAAATAACACATTAGTTTCTCATTTTTGATATGAGGAAATGAAAGCATATAACAAGTGATATGTCCAAGAATACACAGTTAGCTGAAGAAGAATTTACCAGTATAATTATATTTCTTAGTATTCTGGAGGATGCTTTGTTGCATGTTCAGGTGCATAGTAAATGCCTGGTAAGTTAACTGATAGATCTATGGGTTTGTCTACATTCCACATTGGTTTCTGAGTTTTCTAATACTGTTTCATGCCATTGCCAGCTTAATGGACATTAATAGGAGTTTCTGCAATAATGGAAATATACTGTATCTGTGCTGTCCAAGCCATGTGTGGCTGTTGAAATGTGGTCAGTGCAACTGAGAACTGAATTTTTAATTTAAACTAATTTAAATTAATTTAAATTGTCACATTATAAGTATATAATTCAATCACATGTAATAGTGCCTAATTTGCTTTTTTCTTAAATATATATTGTGCATTTGCAGTGACTATTAAATGTTATGGTCATGATTATACCATTTTATTTCTTCCATTTAGAAGTAGATAATCTTTGGGTATGTTTCAAACATGGGGTTACAGAAATAGTATTTTAGAGAGACTTCTTTTTATGTATTGTTTTAGGGCTGCTGTGGTTCTGTTAAATTGTTTTCTTTTATGCTAGGAATTGAGGAGATAGCCAAACGCCTATTCTTGGACTTCATACCATGTTACTGCAGCATGTAGCATTATCCTTGTTCCCTTGAAAGTAGTTAGTGGCCCCTGTTCCCACCATTTATAATCAGTTGCATGATGTTAGTCATACAGTTTTTTTCCCCAAATCCTTATTAAAAAAACAAGCCACATTTTAGGTGCTCAGTAGCCACATGTGACTGGTAGCTACCCTATTGAACAGCACATATCTAGGAGATCTGAATGACACTGTCAACCACTTTTAACTAGTTGACATTTATAGAACACCATACCCAACAGCTGTAGAGTACACATTCTTTCCACTACACACGGATCCTTCTTCAAGGCAAACCATATACAAGGCCCTAAGACAGTGTCAAGTCAAAAGACTGAAATCACACAGAGCATATTCTGTGACCCCATCAAAATTAAATTAGAAAACAAGTTACCTAAAAAAAAGTCCATATGTCTGGACATTAAACAATACACTTCTAAATAAACTGTGGGTCAAAGAAGGAGTCTTACGGAAAGTTAGAAGTTTCAAACTACATGATAACAAAGACATATCAAAAATTTTTAGGATGTAGCTAACGCAATGCTTAGAGGGAAATTTATAACTTTTTATATGGTTACATTAAAAAGGAACAGGGGCTGGCCAGTTAGCTTTATTGGTTAGAGGATGATACAGATAACACCAAGGACCAGGGTTCAATCCCTGTACTGGCCAGCCACCAAAAAATAAAAAAAGATACCCCTTACTTTTGATAACTTTTATTTTTTATTTATTTATTTTTTAAAAGATGACTGGTAAGGGGATCTTATCCCTTGATTTGGTGTTGTTAGCACCATGATCTCCGAAGTGAGCTAACCAGCCATCCCTATATAGGGATCCCAATCCAGGGCCTTGGTGTTATCAGCACCACACTCTCCCAAGTGAGCCATGGGCCGGTCCCTTACTTTTGATAACTTTTAGTAAGTAAATTGTTAGCCTGTAATGACTAGCAATAAAGTTAGTGAGAAAAAAATTGTAGTTTAAAATTATAAGGAACAAGTTTATAGGAGAGGGCAGGATTAAATTAAGCTTAGTAATTAAGATTTATTTTATAATGGAAGCCTTAATTTCCTTGAATTCAAATTCACTTTAGTGTTCTGATGTGCCTGTTTTGGAAAATAATTTAACCTGGGGGATCTATAGACATATTTTATAAACCCAGGAAAGAATTTTAAAGTTGAGGATTTGAACTTAGTTTTAAAATAACCAAATGGTAAGCAGCTGTATGCATCTCATTGAGGAGAAATGTATTTACTTTCAGGACAGTGACATTTCCATGTGAATCTGCAGACATGACTGGCTCTCGGGAATTTGCAGTCTTATTGAACTGAATTAAATGAACATTTAAAGAAAACATTGAATTTTTTTTCTTATAGGTTTATTGACAAGAAGGAAAGGTTAAACCGACTTAAGATCAAGCAAGAAGAATTTCAAAAAGAGTGAGTTTTTTGTTTTGCCTTTTAATTTGTGGAGGTCATCTCATCACCACTTTAATTTGTTGCTTTGGTGTGCAGATTGCTAATTTATTGAGTTTAGGGTGCAGTCTCTTAAAGTGTAGAAAATGAATGCATTTGGAGAAGTAAAGGAGGACATATTATCAAGTTTCTAGAAAATATTGGACTCAAACGTGGTGCCTGGTACACAGTAGGTACTCAGTGAGTATTTGGATGGATGAGTCAAACCCTGCCCCTGATAATTGATGTGAGGCAAATGGGTCCAGGACAGTAGGCTTGATTAGACCTAAATTAGTGCTGGTAGCTCATGTGGGACATTACTGCTTCCATTTACCATTTTTCTGTCTGTATCAGTGTTTCATAGAGTGTTACCTGCAGATCATCTATGTGAGAATTCATTAACTAAGATAGTGGTTAAAAATGCATATTCTTGGAATCCTGTCCTCAGGTATTCCAATCCAGTAGGTCTGGGATGAGGACAGGGAATCTGAGTTATTAACAAGCACTCCTGATGAATCTTTCACTGCCTGGGTTTGAGAATTGTCCTAGAGAACCTTCTGCCTCCAAACTGATCCCATCACTGTTGTCCAGACACATCCCTGGTGTTTGCATCTCTGGGCCTTCACTCACAGTTTGTCTGCCTCAGTGCCTTTCCTCTTCTCCATCCAAGTCCTGCCTGTCTCTCAGGACTCTCTAGGGATCATCTCTTCCTTGAGGTTTTCCCAAACCATGCCAACTTGGAGGTCTCACTCCTGTGGTGAAAACAGTTGATAGCTGTGCCAGTGAGTCTCACAGTGTGATCCGAGCTTCTCAAGAGAGTCTGCAGTGGTCTGATAAGCACATTCATGAGCAGATTAAATCTTCTAAAATATCCTGCATTAGAGAAACCTGCTTAAACTTATTTAACTCAGCAATTTCTCTAACTTACTTGATCACAGAAACTTTATTTTTTCCCATAGAAAAAAGATTTTGTGCATTTCTTTGGGAACTAACCATAGTATTTTATATCGTGAATTATCTTATAATAATTATTATTAATTATGAATGATGGAGAGTATTATGACTGAGGGCAAAGGCTAGGGCTATTGTGGAAATTTACTGTGGATGTTTATAGAAAGGCTCTTGGCAGTGTTGTGTTAGAAGTGCAAAAGGAAGGCTGGCTGGTTAGCTCAGCTGGTTAGAGTGCAGCCTTGTAACACCAAGGTCAAGGGTTCAGTTCCCTGAACCAGCCAGCTGCCAAAAAAAAGAAAGAAATTGCGAAAGGAAGGAGGTGAAAAAAATTGCTGAGAACAGGAAAATATTTAAAATGCTAAATCCCACTTTGGTATTTCTAGGAATTTATTTTTAAAAGTTGTTGATTTTACATTTTTGAGCTTCACAAAATTTTATTAAGAATTTATTTTCTGTCTGTTTTCTATATAGAGTGTTAAAAGCGATGGAAGGAAAATGGATAACAGATCAGTTGGTAAGTTGTAAAACATATTTATTTGTTTGTTTTATTTTATTTTATTTTATTTTATTTTGTCAATATACAATGTGGCTGATTATTGTGGCCCATTACCAAAACCTCCCGATGGAAGGAAAATGGATAACAGATCAGTTGGTAAGTTGTAAAACATATTTATTTGTTTGTTTTATTTTATTTTATTTTATTTTGTCAATATACAACGTGGCTGATTATTGTGGCCCATTACCAAAACCTCCCACCCTCCTCCCTCTCCCCCCTGTAAAACGTATTTAAATTAATATTTTTTATACTTGAGGCTACATGTGTTTAAGTTGCTAGAGCTTAAAAAGTCATTTTGAATTTAAATTTATTTTTATCATTTTTGGCAGTTCTCTATTCAAATATATTATTTGTAGTATTTCATCTACATACCAAAAACAGGGTAGAGGCGATTAGTTATGGAGCCATCATAAAGAATAATTGTGAAGTCTGGTATTGACGTAGAAAAATGAAAACAATGGGCTATCCTTTTTGCAAGAATTATTCATAATAAACACACATCCCAGATTGAATAATGATTCAACGTAAGAAGTGAACTCATAAAAATATTAAAAGAAAATAAGGTTACATAAGTATTTATGTAACTTTAGGGTGGGGAGAACCTTTATGAGCTATAGAGGAAAGCATTTTGACAGATTACATAAAAGTTAAAAAGTTCTGCATGTTAAAGACCCTAAGTACAATTAACAACTAATGAAACTGGGAAAGAATGAGCACAACATGAAAATAAGTAGTTGGATTGACAGCACCATACACTTTTACTCCCTGTTGGTGGAAGTATCCATCAACACGTTTATTTTGGTGACAATTTGGTGGTGGTTGTTGTCTTTTGTTGTTATTTTTTAAAGCACATATCGTATATCCAGCAATTTTCCTCATAAGGAAATATGCATGGATGCAGAGACTTATGGGTAAAGAAGCGGATTATCTGCAGCACTGGTGGACAAGTTGATATATAAATAATCTAAATGTTTATCAATCAGGATGAGATAAGTTATGATTCTGTGTAGCTGTTAAACAAATGTTCAGTCTACGTGTATTGATATGGAAAAATGTCTAAGATATTTTTTAATGAGAAAAACAAAGTGGGCTCGGATAAAGTATGATTTCATTTGTGTGAGTATATATTTTAAATATGTGTACTCTAAAATATCTGAAAAGATACACGTGAAACTTTAATTTTAAGAGGTTACCCCTGAGGAATGGGAAGGAGTCAGGCTAACAGTCACATTTCCTTTTTTTCTTCTGCAGTGTTTAATTTTTTTTTTTTAAATAGTAAGCACCATCCATAATTTTTTTATTACACCTAAAGAATATTTGTGATAGAAGTGAATTTTGCTTAGGTTCTCAATGTTATAGTAAACAAAATATGTTCTGTGGAAAATTTTTCTACAGTCTTTGTAATGTTTTCTAGTTTTTCTGTCAAAAACTTCAATATTGATTCTTAAAGGCTACTACTTTTAAAAGTGAAGATGTCTCATTTCCAGTTTATTTCCAAACTCTTCATTACTGATGAATCTGTTTTCGAAAGTCTCTCTGACTCCATTAGAAGGGTTAGAGTTCTACTTGCTGCAACATCTCTGTAATCTAGTCTGTATCTTGTGCTATCTGACTTTTTAGATAAGTGTAACACCGTAAACGTTTGAACACTGTTTGAAGCTTTTAATTATTCACATTTACAGAGACATTAGAGAATAATCAGTTTTTACCTAACTAGTAAGTCCTGTTTTTTCTGATCCTTTATTACTTTAGGGGAAGCAGTTCCTAAATCCTGGTAATGTGAAGAGGCTTTTCGTGTTTCATCTTGTTTCTGAGGCTTTTCAGGAAATCTTTGAGTTATGTGCTTTTAAAAAAAACCTCTGTGTTGTTGTGGTTTTTTTTAATTTGCAAGTAAAATTCACTTATTTTGTGAGATAATACAAGGATGTTAATAGTCTCCTCAGTAACCAGCACTAGAAGTTTGGAGCAGTGCATCAATAGGGCTTTCTGTGCTGATGCAAATGTTCTGTCTATGCCATCCAATACAGTAGCCTCTAGACATGAGGGGTGTTGATCATTTGACGTTCGGGTAGTGTGAGTAAGGAACTGAATTTTTTTTTTAATGTAATTTTAATTGAGTTTTAAATAGTCACATGTGGCTGGTAGGTATGTACTTGACAGAGCAGGTTTAAAGAATGTCCTTCTACATTTTTCTCTGTGCTCACTGACACATGGTAAAAGAACTATGTGAATTTCTTTCTCAGTTTCCTAGTGGCTTCTGCATTGATCCAAAAAAACATTGTTTTCTTTTTCTTAATGTACCATAATTATAAAAGCAGTAACAAATATAATTTTTTTTTTTTTTTTTTAAAGATGACCGGTAAGGGGATCTTAACCCTTGACTTGGTGTTGTCAGCACCACGCTCACCCAGTGAGCTAACCGGCCATCCCTATATGGGATCCGAACCCGTGGCCTTGGTATTATCAGCACCGCACTCTCCCGAGTGAGCCACGGGCCGGCCCAATGTTGTTTTTTTCTCCATTATGTTTTCTAAGGTATACCTGAAAATAAGTAGTGAGCCCAGATAGATAATCATATTAATCATAAGAGATCAACGTTTGTGATATTTATTGCATATCTTTTTCAGAGATGGAAAATAATGTCCTGCAAGATGAGGATTGAACAACTGAAACAAACAATATGTAAAGGAAATGAGGAAATGAAGAAAAGTAAGTAATTTGCCCCCTTCCTGCTGGCCCTAATAAAGGGCCCATATGGAATTTCATGGGATTAATAAGCTAAAGAGACAGAGAAAGAGAGGAAGGGGGTACGGGCAATAGAAACTTGGAAAAGTTTACTACTTGCCTTTCTTTCTCCTTGTAAAACATTTATATAAGGAATTTTTTAAATATATAAACACAATTATAGAGGCCTTAAATCTGCTACCTTTCTCAATTGAAAAAGTTAAAGAATGTGTGTTCCCATTTGCCTTAGCTAACAGGAATCTCAGAGTCTAACTTGGTACTCACTTGTAATTGTTATTAGATCATTCTAGAAACGCAGAATATTGGCTTTTTCCCCTTAGTCTCCTACTAATATTAATCTATATTAATTTTACATTATATTTGTACACTTCATACTTATCCTAGGTGGTTGTCAAAGAGTCCTCTTAGAAATCCTGCACATCCTTAGATACATTTATTTTTGAAGATCAGTGTTTAAACTTTAGATTGAGTCACTATAATACCTCATTATGAATCCCTTTCTTGCCTACTCATTGCTTTCAGAAGCAAGTATTTTATAGTGGTATGTAATGGTGTAAAAGCTTCCTTTGAATGTTCTAATAAAGTGCTCACGTGGAGTTTCACAGGATTAATAAACTAGAGAAGCAGGGCAGCATGGTGAAAAGGTGTTCAGAACTACAGTCAGGCGATTATCTACCCCATTTCGCATGCATTCTCCAAAAGCTCTTGTTCAATAGCAGTGCAAGAACTCATTACTTAAAATTGGTTCACTCTCTTTCCCCATCCTCCCATGGTGTTTAGACCAGGCATCTGGGAACCTTCTGAAATTAACTGATCATGTACATTTCTCTGATGAGCAAGTTTAAAGCTTTGATCAGCTCATTTTAACAGATTCCTAACCCCCCAAAACAAAAACAACAGCCACAGAAAATAAAAAACAAGGCTCTAAAGCAATAGACTCTATATCAGTGGTTTCCATCCCTAACAGATCATCAGAGTTACCTGGTGACCTTTTTAAAATCTGGAGAGAATCCTAGGATCTACCCTGGACTTAGGAAAATGACCACATGCTTGAATGTCATGGCAATGTTTAAGTTTCCATGTAGAAGGAAAAAGTTTCTACATAGCTATTCTGTATTTTGTATTCCTCTCATCATGGCTGGTAACTGTTTGCAGATGGGCCCAGATCCATAGGCCACACTTTGGGTAGCACTACTCTGGGTGTTTCTGATGGCCTGCTAGGATTGGGAACTACTGCTGTTTATAACGTAAATGCAGTCTTGTTCTTCCCATCCTGTAAACCAGACTCAAAATTTTGCAAGCAGTTTTAAAGGAGTTAATGGATTCCAGAATTTATGCTTGGCTTCAAGCCCACAGATTAAGTGCTTGCTACCCAGTAATTTTTTTTTTTTTTTAACTTTGTTGTTGAAATATCACATGTATTCAGGAAGGGGCACAAATTATAAACTGTAGAGCCTGATGAATTATTTCTCCAGAATCTTTTGATTTAAGGTTTTATGATACAGTATAATATATAGATATGTTATACAGTATAGATAGGGAAGTTAGATTATAGCAATTGCAGCATTGAATTGATCTGTGCTGCAGAGTTATTTATCCAAAGAAGCAAGAATAGATTACAGAAATAGCATCAAACTTTTTTTTTTTTTTTAATGATGACTGGTAAAGGGATCTTAACCCTTGACTTGGTGTTGTCAGCACCACACTTACCCAGTGAGCTAACCAGCTATCCCTATATGGGATCTGAACCCGTGGCCTTGGTATTATCAGCACCACACTCTTCCGAGTGAGCCTTGGGCCAGCCCAGCATCAAACGTTTTGACATTTGCCGGGAGGCAGAAGTAAGACAACTCCGATTGCACCTGCATCCCCAGGTGCAGATGGTGTGACCATGGTGATTTCCTGTTACCTATGAGGGGTCGTGATATTAAGTTTGAAACTGCCCTAAAGAAAACAGTCTGACCACTATATAACTCGGGACCATGGGTAGGTAGATCCATTTGAGCACGAATAAAGAGCTCAGTAGAGATCATGAAAATAAATGAGCTTGCTGGAAAGAAAGCATGTGATGGAACCAAGAGACTGAAGCTTTATTACATTCATACTGAGCAGGAATAGTAAAGATATGCATCTGTGGAGAAACAAAGCTGTAAGAAATCTCACGGCTGCAACTAAACATCTAGGCTCAGTGGTCCTCAGTAAAAAAGGGTGGTTTGGGTTCACATACCCAAATCAGATGCTTGTTACATTCTAGTCAGGAGACCACAAGGCTTCAGTGGGATCTGGTGTAAGGAACAGAGAACTAGAGGCCCTAGGAGGAGTCCACACAAATACATTACTGTAGAGTTTTGAGGAGCAAAAGATCTGGGAGTGTATATGGAGGGGGGTCTTGCCAAATGAGTAAAATTTGGACTAGTGGAAAATACGAGCAAATAGAGAGCATTCCTGGAGAGACGTTGATTTGAACAGTATGGGGATGAACGTTTAGGGAATTATGAAAAGTTCAGCATCCGTCCATTCATTCATCCATCCATCCAACTATTTAAGTGGTTTCATCTTGGTGTACAAAAGGGTATTGTGGGGAACATACCAGTTTGGAGGTGGCCTTGAGGCTAGAGTTTGGTCTGTATTTGATGGGCAGTGGAGAACTACTGAGCACTGGCTATAGTTTGTAAAGACTGAGTGAGTGAAAGAGGACATGAAGACTTGGAGTTAAGCTAAGGTGGGGATAGGCAGAGTTTTGGTGAATGTTAACTAAGATTGTGGTAGTGGGATTGAAAAGAAAGGCCTAGATACAGGGAATTGTAAGACATCTAATAGAATTGACGATCAAGGGATTGATTAGGCAGTGGACAAGTCAAAAACTAGCTTAAAATGTATCAAGAGGAGGTTTTCCTAGAAAAATAATGAGCTTGCTTTTAAACTTCAGTATAAGCTTGCTAAGTGATTCCTAGGTGTCTTTCTGAGAGTTTACAACATGTTTGTGTTATTCAAGCAAAGTTCAGCTACAGTCCAAAAGCCCTAGCAGATCTCAGGACCCAGGATCTGAAGGAGCTCTGCAGAGGACCTCAATCTGACGGGATAAGTGTGTGTCTCCTCTCCTGGTTGTGTGGCCAGGCTTTTGTTTCCCTTGCAGCACTTAAAATGCTGGGCATATGTGTTCCAGATATCTCAGTCATCCGCAGGTTGCTGCCGCACTCCACTGTGACTTTTCAGATCTCTTGGGCTGTTTCTGTTGCCTATCCTCCTTAGCTGCATGACCACCTGCTGTGAGATTGTCCCTGGGTTCTCTGATTGGAACCCAAGGCACACATAAGAGGTTTCTAAAGAAAATCAGATAACCAGTAAGTTTTTCAAAATTGACTTAGATATCTTTTCTGCCCAACATGACTATTCTTTGGTGCTTACTGTAAGAAAGGAACTGCTTATGTTAAACTTAAACTCGATAGTCATTGAGTGACTCCTTAATAATGATGATTGGAAGTGGCAATCCAGAGTCATTTTAGTAGTGGTCATCTTTGCTTTATGTGTAGTATCTACCTGAACTAAACTCTCAAAATTTCCAATTATTGAACATTAGTTGGTTTCATTGAGGTTTTGCTTTTCATTTTAGCTAGCAGAGGAAACTTTGAGGTGGGCTTCTGCAGTACACAGGAACTATTTGCAGACATAATTGTTGGGTGTGGTTTATTTATTTTAGACTCTGAAGGTCTTCTCAAAACCAAGGAAAAGAATCAGAAGCTTTACAGTCGAGCACAACGGCACCAAGAGAAAAAGGAGAAGATTCAGAGGCACAACCGCAAACTTGGTGACCTGGTAGAAAAAAAAAACATTGACTTAAAAAGTCATTATGAGCGTCTGGCAGAACTTCGGCGATCCCATATATTGGAGCTCACCTCTGTCATTTTCCCAATTGAGGAAGTAAAAACTGGTGTGAGGTACAGTAAGCAAGTCTTTGACTCTAGGAATAAATCAAGTTCCAAATGCTGTTTTTCATCATGTCAGCACCTCATTTATTGGGCCTCATTCTAGGGTCATTGGTTTTTCTGGTAATGGAACTTCTCACACTCCTGATTGAGACCCATTTGATGGGTGATGTCGTTTATTAGTTGTGTAATGTGATTCACCTTCTTGGATCTCGAAGTCTTATTTCCTTGTCTATTAAATGGGGATTTAAAAATGCTTCGAGAAGTCATGGGTTAATATGTAAGAAAACACCTAGTGCTTAGGATCTCTTACATGTGGACACTACATGTTGACTTAGCCTGTTCCTGGTCACTGTCATTTATTGTATTAGCTGCTGCCAAGCTATGAATACTGTGATTTTAGTCTTAGGCAGTAGTGCATGGACACCCTCAGGAGTCAGTAAGGATGGACAAGACAGTGGTCCCCCACCTGGCTGTTCATCATAGTCACCCTAGGTGCTTTTGAAAATTAGAGTTTCCAAACAGCACACCTCCAGGCTCCCAGTCTGTCTTGTAATACTCCTATATTTTCAAACTTCCCTGATGCTGCTGCTGATGAAGGTTTTTGTTTGCTCTTTCACTAACCACCAGGTTGTGCTAGCTGAGCGTTTTCCTGTCTCTTCTGGCTGCTCTCACTTTCCTGCACCTTTCCCTGGAATCAGTCAGTGGACTATGGCTACTTTTGTAACTACTCTTTCCTGCCTCTACTTTAGTCTGTCCTTTGGTCTGTTGCCAAAGTTGGCTTCCTAAAAACCTAAAAATCTTTTTGTTGCTTCCAACTTGAAAACCTGACTCTTTCTAAGTAATTTGTCATTAGTAAGCATATGAGTCTGTTTCTGTTGCTTATAACAGAAATATCTGAAATTGGGTAATGTATAAAGAAACAATTTCAGAGGCTGGGAAGTCCAAAGTCCAGGGAACACATCTGGTCAAGGCCTTGTTGGTGGGTTATGACTTCACAGCAGTGAAGGGTGTCACATGGCTAATGGCTTAAGCAAGAGAGTTAACCTGTTCACTCACTCTTTAAATTTTTCCCAGTTTTAATTTCTAATATAGTAAATATCAATAATCTAACTCACATAAACAAAAGTTCTTTGGGGTCCTCAAAATTTTTTAAGCTTGTAAAGGGGTGTTGAGGCTCAGTAATTTGAGAACTTAATATTGTAGGCTCTCGCTCATAGTGCCATCTTCTTCACATATGTGAGCTTCTGTGCCACTGGTTTGATCTTCATCTCTGATAGCAATTACTTATCAATATATATTCCAATTAAATTCCTGTGCTCATGTGCAACCTTTCAGTATTCTGGCACATCTGGCAAGTATAGAGCATACCCTTAAAAACCCAGTCTCTGGAAATCCGTATGTGTCTTCTGATTTTTAGAGATCCCGCAGATGTGTCTTCAGAGAGTGACAGTGCCATGACCTCCAGCACCGTGAGCAAGCTCGCCGAAGCCCGGAGGACAACTTACCTTTCAGGACGATGGGTCTGTGACGATCACAATGGAGATACCAGCATTAGCATTACAGGGCCTTGGATTAGCCTCCCTAATAACGGGGACTACTCTGCCTACTACAACTGGGTGGAAGAGAAGAAAACGACGCAGGGGCCTGGTGAGAAGCAAAATATTCTTTGAAAACTTACAAATATATATAATTTTTTTAATGGAGGTAAAATTTACATAACAAAATTAACACTTTTAATGTGAACAACTCATTGGCATTTTGTACATTCACAGCATTGTGCAACCATCAACCCTGTGTAGTTCTAAAACATTTTCATCACTCCAAATGGAAACTCCATGGCATGAAGATGTCATACCCTCCGTTCTCCCCCTCTCCCCAGCTTCACGGTTCATCCACATTATAGCATATATCAGTATTTCATTCCTTTTTTATGGCTGAATAATATCCCATTGTGTGGATATACTGCATTTTGCTTATCCATTCATCACTTAATGAACTGAAAACGTATGGTTATTTTTTAGCTATTTCACCTTTTAGGGGTTAATACTGCTTTAATTATATAAAAAGACCTCACTATTTAAAGAAATGTATTATTCTCTTGAGTTGCATTTTTAGTATGTAACTTTGTAACATGTTTTTTTAGTAGTCCTAAACAGAGATTGAAATATCCTAAAAGAAAAACCCTTTAGAGCCCCTGCAGTTTCTCTTTGATGGAGAAGGATTGTTCATTTAGTCATTCAGCAAATATTTAGTGAGCATGTGCTTTGCGTCATGCACAGTGCTGGGTGCTGCTTGATACAAAGGTGACCAAGACAGGTGTGACTCTTTGCCCTTCTCTGGGGAAAAGGGCAGGAAACAAGTAAATGATCAAAGGCACCATACATGGAGTGGGTGCTGTGGAAGGAACCAGCAGCATCATGGGGCAGGGCAGGGGTACAAAGGAAGGGGTGACGTTTCTGCAGGGCAGTCAGGGAATGGCTCTCTGAGGAGGTGACCTTTCGGTTGGGCATTAATTGTTCTGATAATACATTATCAGGTCCAGGCAATTCATACTTTAATTTATGCTGGGCCTGTTTAGGTCCATTTTCTTATGTCACATTCCACGCAGCAGGAAAACAAACGGTGGACTGTTTATGTCTGACCGTAGAGCATCTGTTAAATAAGGAAGCAATTCATACTTTAATTTATGCTGGGCCTGTTTAGGTCCATTTTCTTATGTCACATTCCATGCAGCAGGAAAACAAACGGTGGACTGTTTATGTCTGACCGTAGAGCATCTGTTAAATAAGGAGTAAAACTTAACCCTCACTAATGTAATGACAAAATTACAAATCATAATAAAATCTTGGTTCATTAATATTTTGGTTGAAATTAAAGTTGTTTTGTGTGTGATTGTTATGTTTGTTTTAGACATGGAGCATAATAACCCTGCTTACACAATAAGTGCTGCATTGTGCTATGCGACTCAGCTGGTCAACATTCTGTCTCATATACTTGATGTAAATCTTCCCAAAAAGCTGTGCAACAGGCAAGTACTTGAAGGCAGTGATGTCAACTTTATCATAGATCTCTTGAGTTTCTGTTGTGTTATTTATTCTAATTAAACCAAAAACAAGAATTTAAATATTATTAAGACAGAAAAGGTCTGATATATTGAGATTAATTTTAAAAGCCTTGTGCAAATTTGTTTCATTATCTTAAAATTGCACATGAAGTCTGTATTAGTCTGTTTTGTGTTGCTATAACAGAATACCTGTTACTGGGTGATTTATAAAGAAAATGAAATTTATTGCTTACAGTTTCTGAGGCTGGGAAGTCCAAAGTCCATTTGGTGGTGGCAACCATGACCCAGGGGTCTCACATTGCAAGATGGTGGAGGCAAAGAGAGCAGAGAGAGAGAGACTCTCTTCTCTCTTCTCTCTTCTTTTAAAGCCCTCAGAACCACACCCCTGACCACCGTTTTTAATCCATTCACTATGGCATGGTCCTACAGTCCAATCACCTCTTCAAGGCTCTACCTTTCAATTACCATAAAAGGATTTCCCACCCTCTTACCAGTCACAGTGGGGGCTAAGTTTCTAATACATAAAAATTGGGAGACACAATTCAAACTTCAGTGAGTTTTGGGGGGACTTAATCAATCCACTGCAAAGTCTTTGAGAAGACCACAGAGAATTCTCCTACTTAAAAAAAAAAACAATAAAAGGAAAAATCAGGACATTCATAGGATATGCTGCAGATCTTCATGTGTAAGAATTGGGTAAATTTTAAGTTTTTTTATTTAATTTTTTAAAAATAAAAACCTAACATGGTTTAAAATTCAAAAAAACTTAAAGGTGTACAGTCTGCGTAGTTCCCACTAAGACCTTGCTACCAGCCTCCCATTATACTTGCATTTTAAGCAAATATAAACATATTATTACCACCCTTCCTTTTAAACACAAGTGATAGCATGCTATACTCAGGTGTTTTGCACTTTGCTTTTTAAGTTTTTATTTATCTAACAAACATTTATTGAGCACGTGCTGTGTGCGAGACACTGTTCCAGGCACTGGGAGGTCCATTGGTGACAAAAACATAATCCCTGCCCTCCTGGAGGTTACATTTTAATGGAGGGCACATATAATAAAAAAATGAACAGAATGTCAGATGGTGATCAGTGCTGTGGAAAACATTAAAATGGGGAGAGAAAGGGAATGTGGCGATAGGGAAGGGCTTGCTGGGCTTGAGTGGGCAGGTACATGGTCACAGGAGAACCTGGGGGAGGGAGGGAGCAGCCATATGGATCCCTAAGGAAAAAGGCTGTGGGCAAAGAGAATGGCAAGGTTAGCGCCCTGGTAAGAGTAAGTGTGGAGGAGAACAGCAGAGAAGAGGGCAGGGAGGAAGATGGGGTCGGATCCCTAAGGAAAAAGGCTGTGGGCAAAGAGAATGGCAAGGTTAGTGCCCTGGTAAGAGTAAGTGTGGAGGAGAACAGCAGAGAAGAGGGCAGGGAGGAAGATGGGGTGCAAATCTCCTCAGGCCTCATTGGGCCATTGTAAGCCTTCGGCTGTCATTCTGCATAAAGTGGACAGGTGCATGGTTTTTTTTCCCTTCTATAAATGTACCAAGATCTTATGGTCCCCTGTTGATGCTTCAAGGAATAATCTTGTACATCATCATTTCATTAGTGTACAAGCCTTTGTGTAGAATAAATTTCCTGAAATGGAATTGCTTGGTCAAAGGGTATATGCATTTGTAATTTGCATAGATGCAGTGAAATTGCTCTCCATGAGGGCAGTAGTTCATTCTTAGAAAGTGTCTGTTAAGTACAGTTCACTAAGGAAGCAAAGGACACAGGGTATGTTTTATTTCAAACTAGTGTAAAACGTACTGTTCAAAATGAACATTGTAACAAAGAGTTTCCAAAAAAAAAAAAAAAACCAATACAACTTTACAAATTGTATGTTTGTTTTACAGTGAATTTTGTGGGGAAAATCTCAGCAAACAGAAATTTACTCGAGCTGTGAAGAAATTGAATGCAAATATCCTTTACCTTTGTTTCTCTCAGGTATGGAAAATGTACTGTGAACTAATTTTTAATTTGTTACATAGTTGAAAACATTAATCAATTCTTTGCTTTCTCTAGCACGTAAATTTAGATCAATTACAACCACTGCATACCCTCAGGAATCTAATGTACCTGGTCAGTCCGAACTCTGAACACCTAGGCAGGTAAGAAGGGTATTTGTTGCTTTTCTCTGAGGATTGTTTTTGTGACTACTTTTAAGTAGAGTTGTGTTGATAGAGCACTGGGGCCTGTTCCCCAGTCCCAAACTCTCCAAAAAGGAAAAGATAGCGCAGTCCCATACAGAAGGGAGCAATGGCTATTTGTATTTGAACTTTTATAGTTCTTTCCTAATCATTTCTCAGAGAAAATTAAAATCAAACGTTTTTAACACCTAACATGCAATACAAGAATCCAAATATTCCTGGAGTAGGGCCTTTTTGTGCTCTCTCTGAAGACCAAAGCCCATTTCTTTGAATCTACATCTGTTTTCTTTTCTAACCCTGCCTAGTGTCTGCCTAATTTCTTGTGCATGTTCTTTTCTGCCTGCTAGTTCTTGCCCATTGTAACAGTTCTTCACAATTTTCTTTTTACCACCAAGTCAATCTGGTCACTATCTGTTGGAGATAAAGGGTATTAGAAGTTCATGAGATGAACTAGTTTGAAATCCATTGACTTAAAGACAGAAGTCATTAACAAAAAAGACCAACCAGGGCTGGTCTGTGGGATCTTCTTAGTCTCTTATGAAAACATGAAATAGGTGAGGCTTATCTTTGGTGTCATCCAAGCACCCCTTCTCTGGTTGCTTACCCTTTTTTCCTTTCTCTTAGCAATGTGTTCACACTTTTCTGCAGGGATATGATGTGGTTAAGGTATTCATACTTTGGAAAGAGAATTCAAAGAAAAATAAAAGGGGGAAAGTTACTTTGGGATTCCCTTCCCCATCCATTTACTTTGACACTGGAACCCAAGGCATAAGCGGAGTCTCCTCCACTGACAAGTGTTCCTGGCATCCTCCACATTGCAGTTAACTCTCAGGGATAATCTGCCTTTAACCATTGTCTTGTGCTTCTTCCCCACCTCACCTCACCTCACCTCACCCCCATCTCAAATAGTAGTTATCTCTTCTGGGATGTATACTCCTTTGAAAAAGGCTCTGAACTCTCTGCAGGAAACTGCACATTTACCCAAAATTTTGTGCCATTTTATAAGGAGTTCATGCCCCTTTCCCCCAATCCCATTCATTGATTCATGATCCACGGAAATCTGAATGGTACTCCTTTGAAAAAGGCTCTGAAATCTCTGCAGGAAACTGCACATTTACCCAAAATTTTGTGCCATTTTATAGGGAGTTCATGCCCCTTTCCCCCAATCCCATTCATTGATTCATGATCCACGGAAATCTGAATGTTAAAAATCAGTCCTAGTTTCAGTGGTTGATTTCTGTAAGTTTGCTCACTATCCTCTCTGTGGCTTATCTGTAAAGGGTTCAAGATTAGGAAATTGAGCCAATATTTGTTGACACTGGGCTAACCACTTTACATGACTTAAATCACATTCCCATTTTACAGAGGGGAGAAACTGAAGCTTTAGTGTAGTCAAGTAACTCATGCCCATGGTCACAGAGCCAGTAAATGTGGAGGAGCCAGGGTCCCAAATCATCTGGCTGACTCCAAAGTAGCAGATACTTATGCTCTTAACCAGTGTACATTACTTCATCACATTAACAGATTAAAGAAGAAAAAAATAAGATCAGCCTGATAGAAGCCAGAAGAGAATTAAATAAAATCCAGTTCCAATTAATAAAGAAAAAAATGATTAGGCAGTTAAAAATAGATTATTAATAAAGGATATCTATCATAAACCCACAAGAAAAGTTATACTTAATGACACATTACTTACATAGATATTTAATAGAAGCGTTCCCCTACCGTCAGGAAAAAACAAGGATGCCTACTATCATTATTATATTAACATTGATCCGGAGGCCTAGCCAAGGCAAGGAATTTTTTAAAAGAGGTAAGTTGTGTTTATACTGGGAAGAAAGAAACTAAGTTGACATTATTGTAGATGATATAATTATTGAACTGGATTTCCAAGAGAACTAAGAAACTAAGAACTTACAAATGATACTTCAGTATGGTAACTAGATACAAGATCAACATACAAAAAAAAAAGTTGCTTTCTTATATGCTAACAACCAGTTAGAAAATTAATGGCAAAAAATTCCTTTTATTGTAGCATCAAAAACTGTATATTACACTGCAATAATCCTAACAGTATATGCAAAAATCTATATGAAGAAAATTATGAAACTTACTCTCTCTTATTCAACATGTATGTGTCTAATGCCTGCTAGGCACTGTATGAGGAGTGTGACTGAATGAAAAAAGGCCTGAGGCACTGAAGGTCCCTTATTATTATCTAGGATGGGAAGGGCTTAGTATTGCAAAAATGCTACTTCTCCCCAAAAGGAAAAGTGATGAGAATTTCAACAGATATTTTATGGAGCTTTGACAAGCTGATTCTAAAGTTCAGCTAGAATGATAGTCTGCAAGGAAATTTTGAAAAATAATGAGGGAGGGGAAGGGCTTGGTCCCTTTCAAAACATAGTATAAAGATAAGACAGGGAGCTATTAGCATGCTAATAGGTGGAGCGATTAGAGGAAGAGAATACAGATTCCTGAAACAGGCTCTTGGATGTGCGGGAATGTAATACACGATAGGGGTGCATGTTGGATCAGCTAATAATAGCTCAATAGTGTTGGGCCACTTGGGTATTGATTTCGGAAAAAAGATGGATCCATACCACATTCATATACAAAAATAAATCCCAGAAGATATAAAAGACCTTTTTAAACAAAAAACAAAACAAAAAAAACTATAAGAGAAAGGACAATGTTTTATAATCATAAGGTGGAGAGGGAACTCTCAAGCAAGCCACAAAAGCCAAAAACCATAAAGGAAAGGAGTTACACATTTTACTGTGTATAAAAACCATAAAGGTCTCTGGTAAAAGATACCATAAACAAAGTTAAAAGGCAATAGATAGGTTTTGCAGGCTGTGTAATAGACAATGGATTAAGATCTAGACTACTTAAAGTAGTCTTTCAAATCAGTAAAGGAAAGACAAACTAATAGAAAAATAGACAAAGGATTTAAATAGGTAGGTCACACAAAAGAAATGAAAGTAGTCAGTCTTCAAATGAAAAAAATCTTCAACCTCACTCAAGAATAAAGAAATGCAATTTGAAACAGTTTTCTGTTTGACAAAAATGGCAAGGGTTGGTGATATCCAGCGTTGGCTGTTGAGGGAAACAGGTGCTCTTTGTAAAGTGGAGGTGGATTTCTCTGGAGAGCAATTTGGAGGACCCAAAGTTTTCTATTGGCTTACCTGAATCAGCTCTTCCATTCAGAGGGCTCCGCCTGGAAGAAGTACACACACAGCGAGGCTGTTGTCACATCTGAGTTCATGGTCTGTGAGCCAGAGGTCAAGAAGTAGAGCTTCGAAATTCCCTTTTTCACTCCTGCCTCAATCAAAATCAAGGCTTAGAAATTTTTTTTTTTTTTTTT